TGTACTTATAGTACTTTTCTTCTACTTGGAATGTTTTCTTAGTTGCTAGCTTGTTAAAGATTGCTTTATATAACAATTTCTCAAAAATATTCTACAGTTTATTTGCTTGATCCACCCTTTCATCTTAATTGGATTCTTCTTGTAGCAATAGTTCTAGTGATGTTTTAAATTTATGGTCTATATTTTCACTAAACACTTGCCATTGTGATAGAGATGTATCCTTTATATCAATTCTCCTTTGTATACTCATGAGAGGCTGTGTAGTTCTGCTTTTTATGAAAAGGTCTTTGTTATATAAAGTTATTAGAAGCATAATGTGATCACTACCTATAATATCTTCCATATCTTGGTTATCAAATCAGAGTAGTGGATAGCTTATTAGACTATGAGCAATTCAAATATAGTCTATTCTACTACTACTTGTTAGGTTTTTTCTTGTTGAAGTTTTTTCTTTGCCTTTTTATATGGCTTATATATCTATAAAGTTCCATTCATCAAGAAAGTTGAATAGTAGAATTTCAGGTCATCATGATGATCTGAAGCTTGCTTTTGAGGAGGACTTTCTATCTTCTGATGGGTTGTAGGTTGCATTAAAATCTCACATTACTATCATGTAGAAGCCTTGTCCATGTTTATTTTTAATAAGATTAGTTATCTTGTTCTATATCATTTTGCATCTTGATTTGTCTGAAGGAATATAGATCTGTATAATACAGATCTTTTTTCTTTTTATAAGTATGTTGGTGACAATAATATATCCTTTTTCTTTCTCTACTAATGCAATTTTTTTTCCAGATTTCTTCTGATTAAGAGACTGACTCCTACCCCAAATGATATGTCTTTGTTGGTACTATAGAAGTATTTATAGTCTTTCTGATTATTGAAAGCCTATTATGTATTAGCTTCTATCAATTTTGTTTTATATAATTCCAGTATACCTATTTCTTGTTCTAGTATCTCTTCAACTAGGTTTTATTGCTTTGTTTTATCTGTAATTTCTCTAACATTGTGTGTACCTAATCTGATTACCTTTTTATTTATTTCATTCTCTTCTTTAGTTTTTTTTATTAGTCTATATCTACTATTGTTAAAAAATTTTTCCCATTCTTTCTATAAAAATGTTGTAATGTTTATATTTCCCTCCTCTTCTATTCTGTAACTACTTTTTAAAGTTTGTTTTTTGCCCATATTTATAGTTTTTGATGAGGAAGCAATAGGCTGTTGCTTTTCTTGATTACTATCAAGAACTGGTGTGCCTTTAGAAGCAGTTTGCTCCCTTATTACTGGGTCTTGATCTCCTGAAGCCTGTTTGTTCCTCTATAGTATCTATTCTAGCATGTAGTCTTTCTAGGTTGATTAGAATATTCATTAAAAGATCTTGTATGCTTTCTATTTCGAATCTTATATTGATTTCAGAAGATTTATTTCTATAGCTTCATTGATTTCCAATTGGTTCTCTATTGCTTCCTGTTGCAGAATATTCTTCTTCATTGTTTCTTTCATGTCTTATTCTATTATTGCTTCACTGTCTGTTCTGTCTCAAATTTTTAAACCTATGATAACTTGCTGAATTAAAAATAGACTCTGTTAATTCATTATCTGATTATGAGTCAGGTGTTAATTTATTATCTATTTCTATATTTTTAGACCTGAATCTTGTATTTCTATCTTTATCTTTAGGATTCTGTCTTTCTGTTTTGGATGTGTGTTTGATACTCTATGAGAGGTGATGTCTCTGTAAGAAAATATATTATTTGCATGCCTTGTTTCTTTTCTCTTTTGTCTTAAAGCAAACTACTGTAAAGTTATACTTCTTGAATGTATAGGGATCTTTGGATGTATAGCATGCCTTAACTTGTATACCATTCAATGCTCGGGCTATTAGACTGGTATAGGTTTTATCAGTACTTAGGAGTTTTGCTGAGTTGTCATTTCTTTCAATTAATATTTTATTAATTTCATTATCAGCTCAGACTTGAAAAATATAGCTCTTGACATTTCTATACTAATTGGAGTCATCCAAATTTCTTTAGGATTTAGACTAAGATATTTGTGCCATTTGATATAGGCTTTCACTCATGGTTTTGTATTCACCTCATAGATATGAATGTTTTGAACTTCTCTATATCTTTTTAGATGTGCTTTTATGAGGTTCTTATTATTTTTCTGATTCACATCTATCAAACATACATGTCAGATGGTAGTATTTTCTTTAGTTTTAGACTCTTGAAAAACTTTTCTATCAAGGTTTCTTTCTGTTTTTTGTTTCTTGTAAGTGGTTAATAATATTATATTTTAAATAGTAAAGTTGTTTTCTTTTCAGTTAACTTTTTCAATGTATCTTATAACATCTTCTTTCTTTTGTATCCAAAAAACCAATTATTCATTTCTATTGATAAACTCTTTTCATAACAGGTTTCTTTTTTCTTGTGGAAGTTTAAGAGTATTGCTTAGATATGTCTTAGTTTTGTTTTCTGTTTCTCCTGAAATATTGGCTATCATTGTACCTAATCTATAATTTCCTTTCTTTTTTTATGAAGTAAGGGTTTGTTGGTAGTGCTGTGTCTCTATTCTTAGTGGTATAAGAGCTATGTTCACTAATGTATTGTCTTTTTATTGTTTCTTGGAGTTTTTGTGATTCCAGTTCTTTGATCTTCTATGCACATATCATTGTTATTTCATTATCTATTGTTGATTCATTATCTATTTATTCAACAATTTCCATTGATTGTTGCTTTAATTTATGTTTACTTTCAGAATTCTTGATAATTTTTATGAGCTTATCTTCAATGTAAGGTTGTAGGAGATCTTCTTTAATCCCTTTACCTTGTTACCAAAGATATGCGATATGTTAAGTTAGGATTTGTTTCTTGTGAAAGGTTGTCACATCTACTCCTAGTATCTTAGCTATAATACTATCAAGGATAGTATATGTTTCTGGTGACAAGGCTACTGGTCTATTGGGTTCATTATTTTTTTGTTTTAGTAGTTATTGTGAAGTCTATAAAGTAGAGTGTTTGTCATGTTTTATTGAGAGATTAATTAATGTGTTTACTATATTCTTTTTTCTTTTATTGATAATCTATAATATATGTTATACTTTATTTATATTTATTATTGGATTAGATTTATTGATAAATCACATAATTGCTTGTTTATATTTGTCTGTTATTTTATTTTTGGGTCACAAATAAACCTTTCCGGGGTTGCTGTTATTTATATTTTTGATTAGATAATATGGAAAAACCTTGTTGTGTTATTTTGATATATTTATTTATTGATATTGAAGATCCTATTCAAATTTTGCAAGTTGTTATCATATTTGTGTAGAACGTCAATCAACTTGTTTGGATCACAAGTTATACATATATGTGTATATTTTGTTTGTTGCTTTTATATATATACTTGTTTTGCTTGTCCACTTTTACGTATTTGTGCTTACGTAATAAGATAAAGATAGGTATGTTATTTATGTGTATATACAGTATACGTTTAGCCTGTTTTGTTCTAGGGAAGCTTTAATATTTTTCTGGATCTTTGAGTAACTGAAGTAACTTGATTTATTGAGTAAACTTGGTTGCTTCTTGGGTTCTTTGCAGTATCAAGAAAGGTGTTAACCTGTACTGGTCTGACTGTAAACTGTGTAAAGTTAATATTGATTTTCTTTTTCTGACTGTGAATCAATTTACAGATCTTTTTTCTTTTTCCTAAAATTTTAAAAAAAAAGAAGTAAAAGAAAATTAGTAAAACAATGCATACCTCTTTTCTTGATATTTCTAAAAGATTTGTTTTATGTATGCTGCAAAGGCTTGATAGCATAATTTGAAAGATATATTATTTTCCTTGTATGTTTGACCAGGTTTGTTTTTTCAAAAAAAAAAATTGACAAAAAAGAAAATTTTTAAGAAAAAGGAGGATCAGTAGAAAGAGTTTTTTTAAAAGATTAAGGTGGTGCAAGATTTTTTTAATTAGATAGATTTCTTTTGAGAAGAGATTATTTATTTGAATAAGAATTTTTTGAAAAAACTTTAAATTTCTCTTTTTTAATACATTAATTTAACAATTCATTATTTTTCAAGGTAATTTGTAATAACAAATTGTTAACAATGATTTTAATAGATAGAGACCTTAATACCAATTTATCAGGAGAGTGAGAGTGTCTAGTTGAGATTTTGTTTTGTTTAATTTAAACTCACTTAGTAGACACAAATTTTTTAAGTAGTATGATCGTTCAACTAATAATGTACAAAAACGAGTTAGTTCGTCATGTGAATAGTCATGTAACATTGCAGACGTTTATTTAATATCTCAATAAAGACACTTCCTGACGGCATATTATTACATTTCGCAAATCTCTACGTTCCACAAATCCACTCACTACATATCCTACATTTCAAAAACTCACCCAAATCCGCTCACTCTACGTACTATACGTCGCAAACCCAACCACTTTTTTACCTCACATTTTGCAAACCTATTCTGCGTTCCGCAAGATCACCAACTCTACGTACCCTAAATTTCGAAAACAATTCTATATGCAGTATATATATACTTTACATTTTACCTAACATTATACAAATCTACCCACTTTACATTAAGTTTCGCAAATCTATTTTACGTTCCGCAAGCCCAACCACTTTACATACCCTACATTTCTGAAAAATTACCCACCAACTCGTGTTGTTAATTTCACATTAAATTGTTTAACGATATTGTATTTTGCTAAATGTCACCAGGACGATATATTGATTGCGCACCATTAAAATATTCGGCAAACATTCTACTATACACCGCGAAATATCGGTAACTTTACAGGACTAACGATTTAAATAGAAAAAATGATTTACATTATATAGATTCTCTTAAAATCCATTTTTGGTGTAATACAATTCTCGCCGTATGTCACGTGATGGTGTTATATTACGTGATTTTAAAATTAATAAAATAAATATAATACGTGCGCACGATTTTGATTGAAAAAAAATCCATTTTTCTACATTATGGACCCAATCACTGGACTTCCTCGCCGCTCAACTATATCTGGAAGCGACGCGCAACGTGAAGGCCTGAATACCGAGACACAGGATTGGACCTTGATAAAAGCTGGTGAACTCGCAGAACCGAATGTTATTGTCATGTGAGCTTGCCATTACTTGTTGGTGAAGAAGTATTGATATGGGTTCGTTCGACTTAATGTCAAATTTGAATTCTAGTGATGGAGATACTTCCATAGAAGAGGCCTGTGATGTGTGTGTTTCAAATTATAAAGTTTAATCGATGGCTTGCTTAATCTATTTAATGACATTGGAGTTTTTCTAGATTCTCATACAAAAAAGTATATCATCTGCGCCGGTCTATGATTCAACAACGAATACCTACGTGGGGATGTTTGACTGTGAGCAATCGATGATAAAAAAGAAAATACTTTCATTCAAAATCTAATAAAATATAAATAAAAATCACGATTTAGGGTCAGACGTCATGTCTTACTTATTGATTGTCCTTAAAAAGAAGAACATCCTAGAGCAACAACAAAAGAGTGATGAAGAGTTGACATCGGAGTTCAAAGATTTATTAAAATTGGCTACCGAATGCCAACCCATTCCTGTCAAGTTGGCCTCAGGTAAGAAAAATTACGCCGAAATGGAATTGAATGATTGATATTAACTTTGAAAACCCTCATTAGATTTATCCCATAAAAACCCTTTCCAGAGTGTACTGCCTGAAACACCATTGTTAAAAGTTGTCGAATTGTTTGGAAGCGGAACTCATAGAGGTTATTGCTGCATCCTTATTACCTTTGTAGGACAATTACAGTAAACAAAATACTGAAATGAATTATTGCAGCCGTCGTTATTGACGCGGAGGGTAAAATTAAGGGGATACTGACCCAATCGAAAGTTGTCACATACCTTTACCAAAATGTAGGAAAATTTTGCCATTACACGAATTCCGCTGACGTCATATATCATTATTCACCGAATTAATCTGCTTATCATAGGTTATCAAATTTCCTTCAATTGAACGACTTTTTCCTAAAAAGGTGAGCGCAGATTCACTAGATGTTGTGAAATTTAATAAGAATGCTAATAGCTACACTTATATTAATCTTAGATGGACGATCTAAGCATAGGTAGAAGGCCCGTGATCTCTGCGCAAGCTGATTCTTTCGTGCTCGACGCGCTGATGATGATGAGTATGCATTCTATTTTTGGTTTATATACGTCTCTGTCTTCATTCTATCTGGTGAGTAACTCATCCATAATTATATAGATGAAAATAAATTAAGTTCCATCGCAATTGTTGATGAAGAAGGGAGGTTACTCGGAAATCTTAGCATGACTGATGTTAAAGTTAGTAAACTAGAGGATTGTTTGTTTCTTGATCGAAATTATTGGCACGTCTTTAAAAACTTTTACGACAGTATATTTTGCGAAACTATAATCATTCCTTAATGTGGAGAACCTGTCAGCAATTTGTCAGTCATGTGAGAAGTCGGCAAGGGTTAGACGATGGACAGGTGAATTGGATATTTTTATTTTTTTTTTGACATGGCACGTAGGATTATTATGGTTCACTAACAATTTATTACATTAAATGTTATGCAGGACAGATATCCTGTGTTTGATGTTCGCTTGACATCGACTTTAGGATACACTATTGCCAAATTAACTGGTACATATACATTATTTTTTTTTTTTTTTTTTGCATTTATATTAGAGTATTTTCTGTTTTGCTGACAAATCATTGAACCCATGAAAATTTAAAAATCAGCTACGAGAGCACACCGCGTTTGGGTTGTAGACGAACGAGTAAATGCTATCGGGGTTGTAAGCTTGACAGACGTTCTCGGCGTGATCGCCCGTTCTGGTGTGTAATATAATTACTCGTAATACAATACTTTTGTGATCATCACTTATTTACCTTCTTCTTATCGGTTGCAGCCGGTGCAAATCCAAAGCCAAAGAGATCATCTATCGTGGTTTCTACAACTTAATGACAAGTATTTAATTTGACTGATGTTTGCATATAAGCTAGTATCCTTAAGGGAATTCTTATTCTCTCGATCTCATAATATTTGATCAATAAAATTACTACATATTACGATTATTCGATTATTAAATTGCAGTTATAGTTATAATGTCTGAACGAAGTCGCAATATGTATAAATGTAGCAGTATATATTGCGGTCTCTTTGGTCCACGAGATTTAGCAAGCGTTCGAATGTCGATAATCGAAAAATGTTGACCATAATGTGGAAAAGGTTTATTAAATAAATTTTTTTTTTTTTTTTTTTGTGATTTGTGAATTTTAGCGAGTATAATAATTTAGAGAGAAGTAACAAATTGATTTTGATTAATACTATTAATGAAATAACCCGAAATAGTTACTTCTTTTGGTTATTATTCGAACATTAACTACAATTGATTTTTTTTTTACCCTTAGTCAGGCTAGGTATGTGTGCTTTATTAAATGTTTGTATACTTTACATTTAAAATGTTTTGCTAAATCTAAATCACTACCTAACTCACTCGTCTCTGTTTTATGAAATTTCTAAAACTCTAAGTGCAACTTTGGGAGTGATTTATTGCTCCATTAGTAGTTCAGGTAAAAACCCTTTCAACTGCTAACTTTATAGTTTACAGGTCACTACTGTAAAACACTCTGTGAGGTTCTGACTAGGCTTAAAATCCTAACTATTTCATTTTATATTTTACTTTTCTTGTCACAATCTTCTTGAGATTTCCATCTTATAAGTGTTTTTCTTTCATTGATAGTTTCTTTTTTATCAGAAATAGTTTTTTAGCTTGGAGAATGCTGAAATCTCTTGATCTTGTCTTTTCTACAAATCCCTTGTATTTGCTTTTACTCAATTGTTTTCTTACATCTTATGTTTCAAATTCTTTTTTGAATTTGGTTACAAACTTTTTTTTGCATTTTTAATATTTATCTTCTTGTTTCTTTTCTTATTTGTTTTCCATAACATTTTAAATTTATTATTTGTTGAATAAGATTACTTCCTATAAGATTAGTACAAAAGCTTAGGATGTTTTGTCTAGTTTTTGAAGTTTGTTTTACTAGTTAAGAGATCCATTTGTCTAACTCCTCCAGTTCTTTTTGGTCATTTATAATTAGTCTAAAATTTTACTTTTCAACTTTCTTTTTATTTCCTTGTAAAAGTCCTTTAAAGTCTTTAAGAGTTTTATTTATTTCCTTCTTCCATATCTCTTGTACTTCATTCTTATAGGCTAGACACTTTAACAAATATTTTATTATTTCATCTTGATGGTTATATGCAATATATTTAACTTACTTATATAGATCAGATTTTTCAATAGTTGATTTGTTTAAGGTTAATATAATAGTTCATTATTGGTTTATTTGATGAAAAAGTTTTTTTATTGAGATTGTTGAAAAATATGTCCCATATATATCTATCTTTTATTCTTTCTCACATTAGATCCTATATATGACCTTGTTAATCTGAAATTTGATAATATTATTTTTTTTCTATTCTATTTTGTTACATTCACTGATAGGCTATTGTTTTGTTATTAATATTCTTAATAAACTATCTTATTAAATTATCTACAGTTATATTTTATCACTTAACTTTTGTGAGAATTCTATATGAGGTAAGATTTTTCTATTTGATTGATAGACGTTTTAAGGATTTATTGGCTAAAGCATCTGTTTTTTTATTATAAGAATTGTTGGTATATATCTTGACTTTAGTAAGATTTAGTCTATACTTTTTTTTTGAATTAACTTATTCATTTATACCCAAAGGAACAAATTGTTCTCTTTTAGCTATTGTTTATAAGTTCTTCTTAGATCTTCTTTTTTAATTATTTTCCTTTAAATATATATACTTGACTATCTATATAAATTTTAACAGTATTATTGATTAGAATTACAAGAAATATAGTTATGATTGCTACTAACTCTATTTTTATGGATAAGTATCAATTGTTTATTTCTATTTTAAACTTGCTTTCTCTATCTCCTGTTCCTATCTGAATCTATACTATTCCCATTCTTATTTCTTCTTTTTCACGACTAATTGGTGATTCATCAAAATAAAAGATTGGCTTTTTTTTGGATTTAAAATTGTGTTGGAGTATATCAATTAGATGATCTTGATATATCTTTTCTTTAATATTTTTCTTAATAATGATTTTTTTCCAAGTTTCTATATATATATGATCTTTTTTATTATTTTGGAAAGATATATTAAGAAAATCCTGATTAATATAGATTAGATTTTTAAGTCTTTTTTAGGATAGTCTTGAGATTTGAAATTATCACTTTTCACATTCTTTTAATAAACTTTTTTGTATTAAGATATGGCATAATATATAGCTTCTCTATACTTTCTTTTATAATACAACTATTATCTTGTATTATTCTTTATAAGCATCCAAAACAGCTTGTAACTTTGTTTTCTGACTATCATTAGTACTGTAGCAAATAAAATATTCCACTTTGACCTTATGTTCTACTATTTCTTGTTTCAATTTTTCTTAAATTATTTGCTTTCTATTATTATTTCTTATTACTATCCATAGTTTTTGTTACTTGTCTTTATTGGATTCTACTGTAGAATATTCTGATTCCTATTTTATATAATTTTCATTCTAGATTTTTATAATCTATTATAATCAGTCCTTAAGAAAGGTTTTTGCTGTAGTTTGAAACTATGCTGAAATAGAATCTTTACTTGTTTTCTGTAAGAGTTGAAGTATTCACCAGTCTTTTATTTGTTTAGCTTCTTGATCAAGTAACTGATCCAAATATATTAGTATATTATTTCTAAGTAATGGTATGACTTTTCTATAATAATCAGGTGTAAGATATTCCTAAATATAACTATTTCCCTTATTTTATTAAAAAATGTTTTGTCATTTTCAGCTATAAAAGATTATTTCTATATCTTTTGCTAACTTAATTACTTGAAGCATAAAATTGCCTTTGTTTAATAAATAATTTTGAGCTTTATAAGTTAGCAAATTGAGTGGTTCCCAGTTTTTGATCTATGTTTGTTTAAGTCTAATAATGGTTGTAATTTCTACTAATTTGGAATTATTTAGTCTATTGCAAAGATCTAATATTTGACTTTCACATTGCAGCATCTAGATACTTTTCAAGTTATGAATCTTTGGATGGTGAATTATATTATTAAGTATTAATCTGCATAAAATGCTTTTGTTTTTGAAAAGTTTTTTATATGTTGTTATCAGAGTATTATAAATTTTTCAGGACAATATACTGTATTGTATTCTAAATTCTATTCTGGAAATTAGTATTCTATTTAAAATATAGAGAACTTGTTTATTAATTACGTTTTTGTTTTTGAGAGTTCTAGTTATTGTCTTGATTTCTTTAAATACTTACTCTTTAAGTTTTGTTGCAGTCTTTTGACTACCTGTTTAGATTTCAAGAAATTTGGCTTGTTCTATCTTATTGAGCTTTTTGATCACTTCATTTTTTGTATCTGCTTAAATTTCTATTAAAATTATTAATTGTTACCAAGACTGAATTGTTGCTATTAATCTGAGAGTCATTCATTTAATAAAATATTCTTGCTGTTTTTAAGATTTTTTCCATATTTTTCTTGAATCTTACTATTCATATCATATTATTTATAAAGGTTATAGCTGCATATCTTGATTCTAGCTTTCTAATAAAATGTCCTTTTAGATCTGGATTCCAAGTTACTGATATTTTATATCCTCTTTGTATATCATTCTGAATTTTGTAAAGCAAAGAATTATAAAAGATTTATTATAATAGTAATGAAATAGTTTTTTCTTAATTGATTTCATCTCCTACTATAATAGGTTCTATGAGATCATTTTCAAATATAACTTGGAATTCTCTATTCTAGAACAAGCTCATTATGATCTTAATAAATCCTTCTGGTGTCTTAATTTTTTTTATTGCTTTTATTAACATTTCTAAACTAATTATATTATATACTTTGATGGTATTCTGAAAGAGTATTTATAGTTCTTTTCTATTTTCTCCAACATCCTTACAAATATTATTAGGCATTTGAATTGGCTCCACTGTACTCTTTTCTGGTAATCCTATATAGTTGAGATCTCTAAGAATATTATTGGTTTGACAGATATCTCCTATTCTATTGATAAGAACTTTATGAAATATTTTCTTGTAACTTTTAGTAGAACTATA